CGGCCAAAAAATTCCACATCAGGGGAAAAAATAAAATATTTGCCAGTTAAAAAACGGGTCACAATGGAGTCAGAAAGGCCGTGAATGCACTCTTTTGGGGTATCACTCAAAAATACGTGTAAAATAATCTTGCAGCCATACATCAGCTAAAACACAAAAAGGGGAAGTCTCACGTGGGGATATGTTGTGCCTTTCCGGCTAGCTAAAACAATGTGGGTACAATGCACGCTGCCCACGGTAATAAGGAAATACAGGGTTGCAAAACGAGGTTTTATTGTGAAAACGTTTCGCTCTCGAAGTGGAAACGTTGTACAAGAACCTGTGTCGTTCTTCAGGTAAACAAAATACTCGAATACTAAGCAAAATCGTAAAAATAAATATTAAAGTTTAACTGCAATTTGTACCTCCGGGGGCACCCGTCGCTGGAGGAACGTAACAACACGTCGTGAGGAACGTAACAAAAACGCGCTGGAGGAACGTAACAACACGTCGCTGGAGGAACGTAACAACACGTCGCTGGAGGAAACGTAACAACACGTCGGGAGGAACGTAACAACACGTCGCTGGGGAACTTTAACAACAGTCGCTGGAGGAACGTAACAACACTTTCGTTGGGGAACGAAACAACACGTCGCTGGAGGAAACGTAACACACGTCGCTGGAGGAACGTAACAACACGTCGCTGGAAGGAAGTAACAAAGTCGTTGGCGGGTGTAGAACACGCGTTTGGAGGAAACGTAAACAACACGCCCGTGGGGAACGTAACACCACGTCGCCTGGAGGGAACGTAACAACCCCGTCGCTGGAGAACGTAACAACACTTCGCTGGGGAACGTAACAACACGTCGCTGGAGGAACTTTAACAACACGTCGTGGCGGAACGTACAACACGTCGCTGGAGGGGGAACGTAACAACACGTCGCTGGAGGAACGTAACAACACGTCGCTGGAGGAAGTAACACCACGTCGCTGGAAGGAAACGTAACAAAAAAACTTTCGCTGGCGGAAGTAACAACACGTCGCTGGAGGGAACGTAAACAACACGTCGCTGGAGGAACGTAACAACACGTCGCTGGAGGAACGTAAAAAACACGTCGCTGGAGGAACGTAACAACACGTCGCTGGAGGAACGTAAACAACACGTCGCTGGGGAAGTAAAACACGTCGTGGGGAACGTAACAACACGTCGCTGGGAACGTAAACTAAAAACGTCGCGGAGGGAACGTAACAAACACCGTCGCTGGAGGAACGTAACAAACACGCCCTTGGCGGAACGTAACAACACGTCGTGGAGGAACGTAACAACACGTCCCCTGGCGGAACGTAACAACACGTCGCTGGAGGAACGTAACAACACGTCGCTGGAGGAACGTAACAACACGTCGCTGGAGGAACGTAACAACACGTCGCTGGAGGAACGTAACAACACGTCGCTGGAGGAACGTAACAACACGTCGCTGGAGGAACGTACAAACGTCGCTGGAGGGAAACGTAACAACACGTCGCTGGAGGAAACGTAACAACACGTCGCTGGAGGAACGTAACAAACACGTCGCTGGAGAACGTAACACACGTCGCTGGAGGAACGTAACAACACGTCGCTGGAGGAACGTAACAACACGTCGCTGGAGGAACGTAACAACACGTCGCTGGCGGAACGTAACAACACGTCGTTGGCAGGGTCGTAGAAACACGTCGCTGGCAGGGTCGTAGAAACACGTCGCTGGCAGGGTCATTACCGAGCCGCTAATGGGCAAAGATTAAGTTTACAACCAGGTGGGTGCCAACTTGTAAACAATGTAACGATGCCTCTGGAACTGCACAGTTGGCACTCGTGACCCCACATCTTCACATTTACACGATCTGTGCCACTGGGATGTGCCAAGGCAGCTGTGCCACTGGTGAATCGTGCATGGATGAAAGCAAGAGGGGTGCTAGAGTGTACAACTTTTTTCATTATTCAGGAGTTCGCGTTGCAAAAGGAGATGAGAAATGCTTCGAGGACATTCACTGACCATTCATTAAATTTTCATTGACAGTATATTTTAATCCTTGTACTTGATTGGTCATGCACAGGTGACATGCGGCCTCAATAACCACTCTGTAGTCTGTAGCGTTTAATACTAATGAACCAACCAACTGAAGAAAAGGAGTTACCGTAGACGTTGAGTCTGGCTGAGTGGGCGACAGAGCCGTGGGCGTTGTGGGCGGTACAGGTGTAGGAACCGCCCTCACGTGTGGTCACTGAGCTTAGGTTCACCAGGCTCACCACCTCCCCCAGGGGAGTCCTGGAGCTTCCCACACTCGTGCTGTAGGAGAGACAATAAGGGACGAGGAGAGAGTAGAGGAGAGAGAGAGAGAGAGGAGAGTGAGAGAGAGAGAGAGAAGGAGAGAGAGAGAGAGAGAGAGAGAGAGAGAGAGAGAGAGAGAGAGAGAGAGAGAGAGAGAGAGAGACTGTGAGAGGAGAGCGTTGGGCAGGGTGAAAATGGGGTGGGAGACAGAAAGAGAGAGATGGGGCAGAAGAGGAAAGATGGAAAGAGATTGGAAAAACGCTGCTGGGAGACTATAGAAGAATAGTAAATAAAGAGAGATTGAAGTTAAACAGAGAAAGTCACTTGCTAAAAGAGATGTAGAGAGACTCCTGCAAGAGCAAGGGACACGATGAGACTGGAGGAGACTTGGGGGAACAAATATTTCAGAGACTTACAACGTGGACCTGTCACCTGGTCCAGCGAGCATGTTCTGTGGGTCAGCTACTACTGAGAAGAATCAGGACCACAGTTGTTAGCGACCACAGTTGTTAGCGACCACGGTTGTTAGCAAGTACTCACCTATTTGTGGTTGCAGGGGTCGAGTCATAGCTCCTGCCCCCGCTCACAGTGCATTAAGGTAAGGCCAGCTAGCTGTCGTGTTACTCTCCGGCCTAAGCAAGTTTGCAGAACTTAGTAGCCAGCAAAAAATAAAAGTTTTGCAACTACTTACGACGAAGCCGAGCAAAGAAACAAGATTTACGATACACAAACATTATTTTGAAGCGAAAAGGAACTTTGTTCTTTATAGTAGAGGGAAAAAATTTCCTCTCGTGAGTCTGGATGATTTTCCTTGTCTGAGTTAAATGCCATAAGGAAAAAAACTATGATACTTGAGAAGGAAAAGTATAACGGGGAGATGATATACTGACTTTGAAGTTTGGGAAAACTAGCGTGTTACCCTCTCTTCTCCTGACAGAACAATGACTTTTGTGATTCTTTATGGGAGTGAGTTTGTCGAGAGGATCTCGTGAACTTACCAGAATCTGTGTGACATGATTCTCGAGGTTTTGTTTACCTAACCGTGTCAGTGACTTTTGTTAGGAAGTAAATGAAGTGAAAGATTGTGAGGAGGACACAGTGAATCTTTATTATCCTCTCAGTGATCAGTGTTGATAGTGGAGACTGAAGGAGGAGTGGAGAAGTGAAGATGAGGGGAAGAGTCCTTCAGCCTGGAGAAGCGTCCAGATCCATGGTCTCTATTAAGGGACTGACCACCTCAAGGCTACATCTTCAAGACTGAGTGACTCACCACTTCAAGGCTTCCTCTTTAAGACTGAGGGACTGACAGCCTCAAGGCTAGATCTTCAAGACTGAGGGACTGACCACCTCATGACTACATCTTTAAGGTAGAGGGACTGACAACCTCATCTTTCACCTCTCCACTGCTCCTGGAGTCTCCAGTGTTAGTCACTTCCATAATGCTAGCGACTGAGAATGACTGGTTGAGCACAACTCTCCTCAACTCTTCTCATTAAGAGGTGAGAAACAAACCAGATTAAAACTTACTCTGTGTTTTATTTTAGTAAACCAGACTGACGTTGAAGGCGCCACAATGAGGGCAGTAGTGGGAGGGAAAGTGACCTGTGTGAGGGCAGTAGTGGGGAGGGAAAGTGACCTGTGTGAGGGCAGTAGCGGGAGGGGAGTGACCTGTGTGAGGGCAGTAGTAGGAGGGAAAGTGACCTGTGTGAGGGCAGCAGTGGGAAGGGAGTAACCTGTGTGGGGGCTGTAGTGAGAGGGAGTGACCTGTGTGGGGCAGTAGTGGGAGGGGAAGTGGCCTGGTGAGGCTAGTAGTGGGTGGAGGAAGTGACTTGTGTGAAGCAGTAGTGGGTGGGGAAGTGACCCTACTGGTCTGAACATAGAAATGGGCGGAGAAGTGACGTACCTGTGTGAGGGCAGAAGTGGGCGGTGGTCCCGGGTCCAGGTGATGACAGGGGCGGGCACGCCCACGGCAGTACACTTGAGGGAGACAGGTGATCCTGGTGTCACTGTCTGCTCGATGTGGGTGTACCGCAGCTGGGGCGCCGACTCTGGGCGTGAGACGTCGTCAACGGTGAGTGGGCGTGAGATGAGTGGTGAGTGGACGTGGAGTGGGAGTAGGATGGGGTGGTGAGTGGACGTGGGGTGGGTGGTGATGGTGGGGTGGGGTACTGGGTGGTGGGGTGGGCGTGGGGTGGTGTGGATGCAGTGGGCGTGGGGAGGGTGGTGGAGAGGGCGTGGGGTGGGTGGTGAGTAGGCGTGGGGTGGTGGTGAGTGGGGCGTGGGTGAGTAGGTGTGTGAGTGGGCGTGGGGTGGTGGTGAGTGGGCGTGGGGTGGGTGTGTGAGTAGCGTAGCGGGTGAGTGGTGAGTAGGCGTTGGGGTGGTGAGGGGCAGTGGGGTGGGTGGTGAGTGGGAAGTACAATAAACATATAAAATATATAACTAAATCTGGCACTTAGAGCAGCAGGAATCAGTGGCACTATAACAGAGGGTCAGTGGCACTATAACAGAGGGTCAGTGGCACTATAACAGAGGATCAGTGGCACTATAACAGAGGGTCAGTGGCACTATAACAGAGGATCAGTGGCACTATAACAGAGGGTCACTGACACTATAACAGAGGGTCAGTGGCACTATAACAGAGGGTCAGTGGCACTATAACAGGAGGATCAGTGCACTATAACAGAGGTCAGTGACACTATAGCAGCGGATCAGTGGCAACTATAACAGAGGGTCAGTGGCACTATAACAGAGGGTCAGTGGCACTATAGCAGACGATCAGTGGCATTATAACAGAGGGTCAGTGACACTATAGCAGAGGATCAGTGGCACTAGAGCAGAGGATCAGTGGCACTATAGCATAGGATCAGTGACACTATAGCAGCGGATCAGTGGCACTATAACAGAGGATTAGTGGCACTATAACAGAGGGTCAGTGGCACTATAGCAGAGGATCAGTGGCACTATAACAGAGGGTCAGTGGCACTATAGCAGAGGATCAGTGGCACTATAGCAGATGATCAGTGGCAATATAACAGAGGATCAATGGCACTATAGCAGAGGGTCAGTGGCACTATAACAGAGGATCAGTGGCACTATAGCAGAGGATCAGTGGCACTATAACAGACGGTCAGTGCACTATAGCAGAGGATCAGTGGCACTATAACAGAGGGTCAGTGGCACTATAGAAGAGGGCAAGTTGCACTATAACAGAGGGTCAGTGGCACTATAGCAGAGGATCAGTGGCACTATAACAGAGGGTCAGTGACACTATAGCAGAGGATCAGTGGCACTAGAGAAGAGGATCTGTGGCACTATAGCATAGGATCAGTGACACTAGCAGCGGATCAGTGGCACTATAACAGAGGATTAGTGGCACTATAACAGAGGGTCAGTGGCACTATAGCAGAGGATCAGTGGCACTATAACAGAGGGTCAGTGGCACTATAGCAGAGGATCAGTGGGATCAACTGGAAGTGGCTTACCTGGGATCAACTGGAAGTGGCTTACCTGGGATCAACTGGAAGTGACTTACCTGGGATCAACTGGAAGTGGCTTACCTGAGATCAACTGGAAGTGGATTACCTGGTATCAACTGGAAGTGGCTTACCTGCGATCAACTGGAAGTGGCTTACCTGGGATCAACTGGAAGTAGCTTACCTGCGATCAACTGGAAGTGGCTTATTGGAGATCAACTGAAAGTGGCTTACCTGGGATCAACTGGACGTGGCTTACCTGGGATCAGGTGGAAGTGGCTTACCTGGGATCAAGAGAACGTGGCTTACCTGGAATCAAGAGAACGTGGCTTACCTGGGATCAACTGGAAATGGCTTATCTGGAATCAACTGGATGTGGCTTACCTGGAATCAACTGGAAGTGGCTTACCTGGGAGCAACTGGAAGTGGCTTACCTGGGAACAACTGGAAGTGGCTTACCTGGGATCAACTGGAAGTGGCTTACCTGGGATCAACTGGAAGTGGCTTACCTAGGATCAACTGGAAGTGGCTTACCTGGGATCAACTGGAAGTGGCTTACCTGGGATCAACTTGAAGTGGCTTACCTGGGATGAACTGGAATTGGCTTACTTGGGATCAACTGGAAGTGGCTTACCTGGGACCAACTGGAAGTGGCTTACCTGGGATCAACTGGAAGTGGCTTACCTGGGATCAACTGGAAGTGGCTTACCTGGGATCAACTGGAAGTGGCTTACCTGGGATCAACTGGAAGTGGCTTACCTGGGATCAACTGGAAGTGGCTTACCTGGGATCAACTGGAAGTGGCTTACCTGGGATCAACTGGAAGTGGCTTACCTGGGAATAACTGGAAGTGGCTTACTTGGGATGAACTGGAAGTGGCTTACCTGGGATCAACTGGAAGTGGCTTACCTGGGATCAACTGGAAGTGGCTTACCTGAGATCAACTGGAAGTGGATTACCTGGTATCAACTGGAAGTGGCGTACCTTCGATTAACTGGAAGTGGCTTACCTGGGATCAACTGGAAGTAGCTTACCTGCGATCAACTGGAAGTAGCTTATTTGAGGTCAACTGAAAGTGGCTTACCTGGGATCAACTGGAAGTGGCTTACCTAGGATTTCCTTGAAATGGCTTACCTGGGATCAACTGGACGTGGCTTACCTGGGATCAGCTGGAAGTGGCTTACCTGGGATCTATAGGACGTGGCTTACATGGGATCTACAGGATGTGGCTTACATGGGATCTACAGGACGTGGCTTACATGGGATCTATAGGACGTGGATTACATGGGATCTACAGGACGTGGCTTACCTGGGATCTATAGGACGTGGCTTACATGGGATCCACAGGACGTGGCTTACCTGGGATCTATAGGACGTGGCTTACATGGGATCTACAGGACCTGGCTTACATGGGATCTACAGGACGTGGCTTGCATGGGATCTACTGGACGTGGCTTACATGGGATCTACAGGACGTGGCTTACATTGGATCTACAGGACGTGGCTTACATGGGATCTACAGGACGTGGCTTACATGGGATCTACAGGACGTGGCTTTCATGGGATCTACAGAACGTGGCTTACATGGGATCTACAGAACGTGGCTTACATGGGATCTACAGGACGTGGCTTACATGGGATCTACAGGACGTGGCTTACATGGGATCTACAGGACGTGGCTTTCATGGGATCTACAGGACGTGGCTTACATGGGATCTACAGGACGTGGCTTTCATGGGATCTACAGGACGTGGCTTACATGGGATCTACAGGACGTGGCTTACATGGGATCTACAGGACGTGGCTTACATGGGATCTACAGGACGTGGCTTACATGGGATCTACAGGACGTGGCTTACATGGGATCTACAGGATGTGGCATACCTGGTCGAGTATACGGATTCAGACCAAGGTCTCTAGAGAGTCGTCGTAGCTGGCTGCTTTCCTTCACGCTCTCTACCTGTACACGAAGCTGTGTCAGACACAGGTGAGAAAGGGGAGAGAGAGAGAAGAGAGAGAGAGAGAGAGAGAGGAGGAGAGAGAGAGAGAGAGAGAGAGAGAGAGAGAGAGACTGCATTACATTGGGAGCTGAAGTTGTGGAAGATTTTGAATTAAATAATAATAATAATAATAATAATAATAATAATAATAATAATAATAATAATAATAATAATCATCATTATAATAATAACAATAATAATAATATAATAATAATAATAATAATAATAATAATAATTAATAATAATAATAAAAATAATAATAATATAATAATAAATAATAATAATAATAATAATAATAATAATAATAATAATAATAATAATAATCATCATTATAATAATAATAATAATAATAATAATAATAATAATAATAATAATGATAATAATAATAATAATAATAATAATAATAATATAATGGGGTCAAAAGATGCCCAAAATGTAATTAATTATTTGGGAACAAAAAAAAAAAAAGTTTAAAAAAGAGAGAGAAAATGGAACAAAAACAAAATATTTTTAATATGGATAGTGAGAGCACTAAACCCGTAAGGGTTATACAGCGCCAGTGAAATGCAAGGTTTGATCCGAGGAAGTGGGGTCGGAGATCAAAGAAAAAAAAAGAAAAATTGGTTCCAGAGAATCCTCTTAATACAACGTTTCGCTCAAGTCTGGACCAATATTTTTTTCTCGCACTTGATAAAGCCAAGTCTTGGGCGAAACGTTTTTTTTTTTTTTGCCAATGTCTACAGGATGGGGGTTTGTGAGGGTAGTAGGGGGTAGTGGGGGTTCAAAACGAGGTTACTAATAAATATGTGCTAATATCTTGTCGTTGTTATTTGTATTATTTTGGATAAATAAATGTTATAAGATAAACGTGCTAGATGTTTCACTACCTGTGGTTAGTGTTACCAAAAACGTCTTTGTTTAACTCTTATGTCTGTTTGAATTAACCTTCTGGTTGCACCGTCAGCCCAGATTTCTTCGGCACATCTTCCTCTTTTCTGGAATGCCTCCGCCATGTTTTTTTTTTCCAATAAATTTAACGGTTTTTCAATGCTTTTAAAATGCTTTTGATGTCTTCTCGTTGCCTGGATAATGCATATTAATGACTCCTTTGATCTGTGGTTTATATTTAAAGACCACAGTTTCACCCGCATTTAAAAAACGGGTTTGGTACTGCCAGTTACAAACGGAGGATAAAATTCTGAAGATGTCTGAGAAGTGTACAGGTATGAGATACAGGACCGAGATGCAGCATCTGGGTGTCTTTATTGTAGACGTTTCGCCAACCAGTGGCTTTATCAATACAAATGGGAAGACAGAGTTGACTACTCTGTTGATTAATCAACTCTGAAGGCAGAGTTGACTAATTAGTCCCTCTTCTGAGGGACTAATTATTCTTCTACTGTCTTCCCATTAAGTCCTTGTATTGATAAAGACACTAGACGGCGAAACGTCTATAATCAAGACACTCAGATGTTCCACATGTGTCTAATTCCTCACGTCTAAAGAATATAATTCCAACTATGTTAAAAGCATAAAATTCCAACCAAATACAGAGAATTCAGTGCCAAACAAACCTAAATGAAATCTTTCAGGTTATATTAGTGAGATCATTTCTTTTAGACTCAGAGAGGCGAGTAACTTAACCAGGACAGCAATCAGTCGCAGGAGAGACAAATGAGGTAGCCAGAGAGGCTGAAGGAGCCGGAGAAAGTGAGCCATGATGTTGGTGATCGAAGATGACGTATTGAAGGATTGTCTTGTAGTCCAGTAACATGAACATTGAGCGTAACCTATGACAACGTTTCGGTCTGACTTGGACCAATAACTAGTCACAGGATTATCCTGTGTGTGTGTGTGTGTGTGTGTGTGTGTGTGTGTGTGTGTGTGTGTGTGTGTGTGTGTGTGTGTGTGTGTGTGTGTGTGTGTTGTGTGTGTGTGTGTGTGTGTGTGTATTGTGTGTGTGTATATGTGTGTGTTTATATGTGTGTACTAACCTACATGTGAGTACACACACACACACATACAGGTCGAGTCATAGCTCCTGGCTCCGTGTGTATATATATATATGTGTGTGTGTGTGTGTGTGTGTACTCACGTATATGTGAGTACACACACACAGGTCGAGTCATAGCTCTTGTCCCCGTTATGTATATATATATATATATATATAATATGTGTGTGTGTGTGTGTGTGTGTGTGTGTGTGTGTGTGTGTGTGTGTGTGTGTGTGTGTGTGT